TCCCAGACTCACCAACAAGGTACCCCTTCAGGACGTCAGACGGTGGATCATGCGGACCATTCGAGCGGCATGGGAAGCTGAGTGGTTCCGCAACAGAACTGCCTTCATCCGCAAAATAAAAGGGTCAACTGAACTATGGAGAGAACTGGACAACCTGAGGGATCAACGCGTGATTTCGCGGCTTCGAACCGGGCACACTAAACTCTACTATAACTATGGTGGCCTGCCGTTCCGCAGAAGCTGCATCATCTGTGGGGTACCCTACACCGTCGAACACATCCTGTGCAACTGCCCGGAATTCCAAAATCTTCGGGAGTCACTCTGCCTAACTTCCAGCATCAGCGATCTGCTCGGGAATGATACTTCGGCCTCGGCAGCACTAGTAACCTCCTTAAAAGAAGCCAAAATCTACCACTCGGTATAGCAGGAATTTCTTTCGGCCGTCGGGACATCTCAGCTGGATCGATTTCCCCTATTGAACCCATGCCAGCTGAGCTCTGTTTTGTTTGGATTAATCGTTTGTAGCTTGTCTTAAATCATTTTGTTTTCTGTTGTTCTTCTGTTTCATTATTTTATATATTGTTATTTTTTCATATAAGTTGAAGAGCCAGCAACCAAAGTTATTAACTAAATGTTAATATACCATGTATCTAGAGGTTACTCACTCTGAGCCCTCTCCTTTCTTCGGAGATGAACTAGCCATAGGCTGAAAATCTCCTTAATAAAGAACTAAAAAAAAAAAAAAAATTATTCATCTGATAGAGATTCGTTTTCTGAGCACAACGATATTTTGATTTATAAGACGTAGACATTCATCTCGCTTTTTAAATCAAGATTTAAATTTTTGATCGTTGACACTAAATCTATTCGTTGACAGCTCGTTCCCATACAAAGTCCCACCAGGGGGCGCTAAGATGGAGATTTTTGTTAATGTTATCTTATTTAAAATAGTTCCAGTGTACCAAAATTGACAAAATTTTGGATTTCGGTTCCATTTTTTATGCAGATAATGAATATGTATTTAGCTCAAAACCCCTAAACAACCCAATTTGATCGAACGCGATGCGTTTCCCGCATAAACGCGAACCATCACTTGATCTTACCGATAATGGTTATAAATTATTTATAATCCCTCCTAAACTTTAACTGAAATGGTTATGGAACTTTACATGAACGTTTAATGATAAAGTTTCAACCTTATGTATTATGGTTTTTTGGAACTGGACCTTACAAATAATGGGTTGTTAAGAACCATTACCCTCCAAATTCTTGTTTTCTCCATACATTTTCAGAAAGAGAACTATATAAGAACGTTTTTACTTATGATTTGAGAACATTAATGGTAATGGTTATGGTCAGTAAGGTCCATTAATGGTTTTGTATTATCGCTCAACTTTACGTGGAATATATCGTGAATTGGTAATCAGTAAATTACAGGCAACCAATTCGCGATATATTCCACATAAAGTTGATCGATGTTACAAAACCATTCGTGGACCTTACTGACTACCATAACCATTACCATTAAAGTTCTCAAACCATAAGTTAAAAGGTTTTAATATAGTTCTTTTTCCGAAAATGTATGGAGAAAACAAGAATTTGGAACGGTAATGGTTCTTAACAACCCATTATTTGTAAGGTCCAGTTTCAAAAAACCATAATACATAAGGTTGAAACTTTATCATTAAACGTTCATGAAAAGTTCCATAACCATTTCAGTTAAAGTTTAGCAGGGATTATAAACAATTTTTAACCATTTTAGGTAAGGTTAATTTATGGTTCGCGTTTATGCGGGTTTACAACTTCAATCTAAACGGATGAGTTTTATTACGTTTAATCGACTTTTTCTGTTTGTCTCCTAGCGGAGATGCTATTTTCTGTTCTTCCCTTTTTTGGTTCCGTATTCCGTTCATCCTACTCACACTTTTTTTTAACTAGTTCGTTTATTGACTAGGCTCAGTCGTGTGTGACACTTTGCGGAGCCAAAAATCAGTAATGCTTGAATTTACATTTTAAACAGCAGTAGTTCTTGGTTAGTATTGAGTACCAATTACTCGTGGCGGGCTCGAGTTTAATGGGTAACAATTTCGATTGGAAGGAGCTAGGTAGGAAACTGGTTTCTGAAGCCTCCTTCAGAACTCTCGGACGGTTGACCAAATGCTTGCTAGGCATAGGCAAGTACCACAGAAACAGAAGTATAATAAGACTGGGACACAATTGCTGGAAATTGTTTGGAAAGGAGGGGGTGGTCACATCAAACTCTAACATCAGACAAACAAAGGAACTCGTTGTTCACCTGCATGTTATTTAACACATTTTTGTTATGATTAGACCAGTGTCAGTGTTTAATGAGTCACGCCAAGAGAAAACAGTTGAACTCGCATCACGGTTTTCGAAAGATTCTCTTTCTTTTCACTTGGCAGAGGACTTCTACATCAACTTCATATGACTTCTAACGAGAAAAAATAGCGGCTGTAGTAAATCATTATCTCAGTGATTATGTCAAATTATATTAACAAAAAATAGTAAAAATTTTCTTTACTGATCAGTACCAAACGTACGCCATGAAAATTTAATGCTCACTGCGTGTTTATGATCATTTCTTCGATTATATTTTATATTTAATTGCAATACCTTCCGTGGACCTTTATAGCATCGTATGTTTTGAATACTGTGCACGATAGGTAGCCAGTTTGACAGTTCAATATGTAGACTTGGCTTTACTCTTGGCACGACTCATTATACACCGACTCTAAATTAGCTATCCAATGTGTGAAGTTGAAGGACTGATGGCTCGAAAGTCCGAAATTGCGCGTGATTTGTTTTCATCCTTCCCCCACTCACAAAGGTTTTAAGTTTCGGGAAGCCTTCTTAAGACGGGCTACCGATAACTACCGATACAAGTTTTTAAAAACTACCGTTAATGAAAAAATAATCTTGGTTCCCTGGAGCAAAGTAAAGCGCACACTTTTTGTCTATAGATTTGAAGACATACTTCAATTCTCTGTGTACATCGTACGGATTAGGCAAAGAGTGTGCGTTTGACTTGCACTGTCGCATTAATGGCCCTTCGCTCATTTTCAACTTCAATTCTATTTTCATACTGCTGTACTCTTATGGAACTATCTACCTACCCTCTTCTAAGACCATTTTCTAGCTAATAAATTATCACACTAAAACTTCATGTTGGATAGCATTTCTAACAAACTCTGAAAATCGCAAACTTCACGTATGAAGTAACATAAAAACACATTGAATATAAAAGTAATAATTTGTTTTCGATAACACTAAAATTCTGGGTTCTTCAATTATGCGGGGCAGTATGCCCCATCTATCATCTAATATACTCCCACAACCAAGAGACTGTATGCTCTATTCTTAGCGGATAGTACAGCACTCACTAAAGCTGTGGCCCCACAGCGTTAATTTAAGTTGTCTCATACAGCACAAAATTGAATAAACACTTTCTTAAATATGCTTACCAAAATGGATCTGGAATCATAATCATAAAGATCGCGGTCATACGTTCAGCACAACCAGAATATCGGGAAGGTCATAATTGTGAAACTGCGTTGAATTTGGTGTCACTGGAAACACAACTTGGAGCGTAAAGATACGACTGCTGCTGTTTCTTTGGAACTGAAACGTGCTTTCGAAACAATTTCAAGGCCCTCGTTGTTAAATGCACTCAAGTGCTACGAGTACTGCATATAAATGGTTTGTAAACTATTAATCTGACGGAAATCAATGGACTGTTTTTAATGATTCTACTTCCAGTCCCGTGTGGGCAATAACCTTGGAGTGCCCAAGGGCAGTGTACTAGAGCCCCTTTTATTAAGTATGTATATTAATGACTTGCGACGTGTTTTACGATTTTGCGACATTGATCGACTTGAATGAAGATTGGCAATCTCTAAGTAGATTGTTGAAGTGTAAGCAGTTGAAATTGAATGCAATTAAATTTATGGCAATTTTGCGGAATCGAGTAAATGATAACGTTTCTGTTGTATAATATTTGCTGATGAGACTGTTGATCACGTTCGGGAGATTAAATATCTGCCATTATTATTGATGACAAACTTAAGACAACTCTCACATTGACAATGACATCAATGAAATTTCCAAGAAGTCTGGGATTCTATGTTGACTGATAAAATATTTTTCTGATGCCAGAAAAATACAGCTATACAAATCAATCATCTCTCCTCACCCAAATGATGCCCTTCCATTTTCAGAGTTGGTTGGAAATGCTATCTTTTATCGACATGAAGCTTGAGTGTGATAATTTGTTAGCTAGAGAAAATTATGAAGAGGGTAGGTTGTTAGTTCCGCATGAGTACGTCAGTGTGAAAATTTAATAGAAGTTGAAAATGAGCGAAAGGCCATTAATGCGACGCCCACTCCTTTACCCAACTCATTAATTAGTGGATGAGGAGACTTGATCCATTTCTTCAAATCTACAGGCTAAAGAGTGCGCGTTTGACTTGCTCATATGCTGTCTGTGGCTGTGGAATAGTTCTAGCGACGTTTCATCACTACCTAAAGCCCCACGTTTCCGAAAGCATTTCCAGTCGATGGTGTGTTATAATGCAAAATAATGCGTTGTTGATTGACCACGATGGCGGTTCCGTGGCGATGGCGACTGATGACTTGATCGGTGTTGAAATGGCGGATCTTAGGCTTGGAGCGTTGCAATGGCGGTTCGCAACCAGTGATACCTGTGCTGCTGCCGAAGTAACCTTTTCTGAATCCTTGACGAGAACGGTGGACCACGGACGAGATTGTATTGGCCGGACTGAGAAGGGTAATTCCTCCTGAATGATTAGGACTTTGTCCGAGGAAACTCTCAAATTCTGAGAGTAGAAGTTTCTTGAAGGTTAGTGGATGTGACCAAAAGATGATTGGGTGGTCACCCTATCATCGATCGGGGCTGATGGTTGCATTTTGATTGAACCATCAGCATAAAGCAATAACAAAAATTAAGGCGACGGAGTTCTCACCAAGAACTCCCAGCGCAGCAGAAAATGTGCACCGAGCGGATCGAAAGAGTCCGCTTCGATCGTACCGCGACCGTGCGGTATCATTATCTAGCAACCAGCGCGGCAACAAAGTATCACAATGTGGCCCTTTGGAAACGACGAAACGTTTGAGCACAGCAATATCACAACCCACGATGTGATATCTTATTCGCTAGACGGTGGCTTCATCCTGGTGGCCGTCGTCGTCGTCATCGTATAGAAGTGGCGGCGCAACATGAGCCGCCTAAAATCACTCGAAGCAACGTCGAGAAGGAACAATCTCAACGTCTAAGCGGGCGTCATCTGACGCCCGCCGAGTCAGCAGTTTTGGTGCACCCGGCACCAAGAAGGATGGCTCGGATCTGTGCACACGGCACCAGCAGAGTAAAATTATACCCAACTCTGTAATGAAAAATTCTAATAAAATTCAGTCTTGATCAGAACATCAACCGCGTCGAGTTGTTGATTTATATCACAGCTTCTTGGGAGAATAGGGTCTCGGCCTATTCCCTAGTTTTGCTAATTTCAGAGTTGTGGTAAACGGCCCTTGCGGGAGCGGGGCAAGCAATTTCTGATAGCAGAATCAGTTAGACTAAGACAGCCTTGACTGACTAGGCCGGAACGCGACGATCGTGAAGGCAATCTCTAAACGATAATCAAATAAAAGGGTTTGAATTAACAGCAGTAACAGGAGAAATCGTCACTTTCCTACACTGTAACTCACTCACTCACGTCATTGGGACGGTACTAATTGATATTTTTGGTCGCTATTGAAAATTTAGTCGATTGCTCAATTTATGTATGGGCCCAAATTAGGAGCATTTAGGCCGACAGTACAACCATTTCCCCTATATCAATTTCAGACTAATCCAACTAACAACAAGCTTTAGCATTTTTACTGTAGTTTTTTTTTTAGTCTGTGTTGGATTAGTAACATTAGTAGAATTATAAATGATTGCTCATTTATCTAGCAATTCTACTAATGTTACTAATCCAACACAGACTAAAAAATGCTACAGTTTCTAAACAACATGCACATTAAAGTTATTGGCAGATTGAGAGTTGCTTATTATGCACACTATACAAGTGGCTTCTTCGCCAGATCTGCCAGTGGACTGAGTTAATTTTTCAATGGAAGGGTTTAGTTTATATTGCTAATTGAAATTACACACTTAGAAAAAATTGATGTAAATTTAGGTGCTCTGAGACTGACATACACAAACGTCAATTTTGACATAAAATTGAGTCCTAATAGACGCGAAATTCAGCTCAATCAAACGTACTTTCGAACTTTGCAGTCTCGGAGTACTTAATTTTATATGACATGTTTGTTTAAGTCTCATCCTTTATGTCAAATATGGATTCCGTCACTTGTAAGATTAGGTATTTCTCAGCGTGTAGCTTTAATCTTTATCAGAATTCAAAAACTTTAATTAGAATATTTTTGTTTTGTGCCTTGAATTGAATACGAATTGCTATATTTTAAAAGGTGTAGAATAAGATAAAATTCTACAAAATTGACAAGACACACCGTGTCTGACTTGTTGGATCAATTATCATGATTTTCCATTTAATTAATCGGGTACCTCCCTATGTAACAATGCAGCACAAATTTTATCCGTAGACTATTTTAAAATCAACAGATATAGGAATGAAAGTACCTCAACTAACCCTAGGGAAGAAAACTTGGTGTACATGAAAGTTGAATTCGCCACTTTGGATATGACCTTCGATAATTCTTTGCACATTAATGGATCTAAATTGTTCTAAAAGATAGTACCTCCTTAAGTCCAGCTAGAGAGATGACTTTAATATATGAAAAAATACAAACATGATTCATTGCTCTGTGGTGAAAGAGATGTTGTTCATTAGAAACTGTACACAGTATCAAAAGTCACACACACACAATCCCCACTCACACATAAAGCGACACATTGCTTGATTCATTGGCAAAGCCCATTGAAATGAGCAGACAATACCAACCACAATTAAGTTTGCCTATACAGACAATCGACATTGCCCGGGCCAAACGGACGTTTATTGCCTGGGAGAATATCAATTTCCTTTTCATTGGCCTCTTCCTTGGGTGTGCTCCTTGTAGCAACCTCCGGGCCTTCGGATTTGATTGTCCAAAGGTAATGAGTTTATTCTCACCCCTTCTTCTCGACATACGACCAACCATGCAGATTTGCAGAGTGCATCCGTAAACATTTGGTTATCCTGGCTCAATAGGGGATTCCAATTGTTCGGAGAAGCTAGAGCAAATCCTCTTCTTTACACCTAGGACTGGCTAAGAAAAGATATCTCAACAAGGAGTAACAAGTACCTAGTGTAGAGTCAGCTGTCCAGTCTGCGTTGGGCCTGGGTGATGCTTTGTTTAGGAAAATGAACTTTATTGAATTACCCGAACACTCAATTGAGTTTGGTACTGGGTCGTCTTGTACTCAAGTAGCAGGGTGAAGGAGGAATCCATCTTTTGTTTTGGCTCGGCAACAATAAGATTATCGAGTTTATCCCCTGAGCTAGAGCTATCTCACTTGTTGGGATTAGATGCTAAAAGCTGTCCCTATGATGTAAATATCTTGGCATCGGACTGCTTTGGAGAACTGTGGGGTGCAAAAACGGGTTCAAGAAATTAGTAAAGCTGTTTTGAGTTTGATGATAACTGAAAACCTTTCTAGCTATTTTTTCGTCAGTATCACAATGCAGGGATTGTGTGAAATCTTATTATCTGCTTAATGATGCAACCGAATCATGCACAATAATTTACCAGATCATCCTCGTATTCGCTTGTTACAGATCATACTTCGAGTAGGTACATAGTCAAACATGATTGCGTTTGCCTGTCGAAAGCAAACCTGAACCAGACGAGCAACAATCGTCCGACTGCAATTTTCTCGTCTGTGAGGGCAAAATACGCTCAGAGACTACCAGCTCACTTTTCGTGAGCTCGATTTGGGGAATTGGCAAAACAAAACGATTGTTGCACACTCATCAAAAACCCCTCTTCAGCCCTCCTATTTTACTGCATCGCAAGTGGAGGAAAAATCCAATGACGAGCATCGGGAACGGAAACCGGAAGCAGCCCAGAGGCTTTTGATAAATGATAGCGATACACGGCCCGGGCAAATCAACCGAATGGCTGCCTTCTCTACATCTCTCTCGCTCCCCCTTCACATATGCACGGTCGATTGGAGCTTCTGCATACGTGCACTCTCGTGTGGGTTTGTGTGTGTGCGTGTGTGTGTGCGTATGTATCCATGAGCAATAGCAACAACCGCCAAAGCCAATTGTCCGTATACAGAACGAATGAATAAGCAATGAATGATGGAACGATAGAGACGATTGCGCTGCATTTGTTGGTAGATTGAATGCACAATGCTATGTGTCGAGTGAAGATTTATGCTCTTTGTTATCGACAGAGTGGTTGCCATTTTGCTATCTCACTTACTTGAAGCGAAATTTGAACACGCACACACACAAATACCCATGCAGCTTAGAAGCAGCAATTATCATTTGACATTTTGAGCGATCGAAAGAAAATTTTCCACGACCATTCGTTTCAATTACCGCTGTAACAAGTTGGCTAACTTTTCTCATTAATTTTCATTTGGCCTTGGCAAAAGATAAGAAACTTTTAACTTTTTAATTGAAACTTTCCGCCTCTTTGCGCTTCGCTCCCATTTTCGGAGAAAGCACCTGTCGAAAGAAAAAAAAAACCACCTCAAATGGACCTTGTAACATGAATTTCGTGCAAACGCCTTAAAAAACAAACAACTTTTGCCCCATATAATGACGACTTCAATGAATTGGGTACCTTGTGAGTATGTGAGAAGTCACCCCTCCGAAAACAAACCAAGCGCAGCAAGAGCAACTTCTTAATGAAATGTCAATAATTACAGGCGGGACACCCCCTCGCATGGTAACTTACTTCGAAGGAATGGAAAATTTTGGGCGTTTCATCCTCAATTGGCAGCCACAAGAAAAACCAGAAGATTCTACAACAAAAACATCATCACCATCATCGTGTAATACTCCCACCTGTACTACCCCACTTAGGAGAAGCTGAGCTTTCTTCCCCAGAGGAGAAACAGGAAATTTCCATTATCGTTAATGTTTTCCACAAAATTCCATCAATGTACCAAACAGCGTTGGGTTCTCCAAACATGTTCGGAATATGAACATGTAGAAATTCGGCTATGATTCTCGTTTCAACACTTTTTTTTTTAATTTGGATGTCGTTCGCCTTTGTTACTTGTTGCTGGTAATTCTTTGTAGCGCATCAGTTTGTATCGCGAATTCAACCTCAAATTTTAGTACTGAGATTCAATAGTATAATTAACATCATCTTTGATTTACAAAGACATATTTGGATCAAAGTTATGTTCCATAAATGTTCGATATGACTCCAAATCAGCTCTATGGTAATTGAAAGTAGAGCTGTTGGGATTAGAAATTATTTCTTGGGGTATTTCAAAAGTTACTGGAAGGTGATCAGAACTGAAGTCAGCATGGGTAAAAAATTGGCTACAAAGTTGACATAAATCAGTTAAGACCAAATCAAAAGTTGAGGGATTTCTTGCTGAAGAAAAACATGTTGGGCTGTTTGGATATTGAATAGTGTAATAAACTGCAGAACAATCATCAAACAGAATATTACCATTGGAATTGCTTTGAGCATTATTCCATGAGCGATGTTTTGCCTTAATATCACCAATAATGAAGAATTTAAACCTATGACGGGTAAATTTCTTAAGGTCACCCTTGATCAAATTCAAATGAAGAAAGAATTTGATGTTTGATTCGTCTGTTAACAATGATGGTAACGCCACCACACGGTCCATCAAGTCGATCATTTCTATAAATGTAATAATTTGCGTCCATTTTAACCGTATGGTCAAGTTTAAGGAACGTTTCAGTTATAATGGCAATTTGCACGTTATGAACTACCAAAAAGTTAAATAGCTTCATTATCTTTTAAAGATCGAGCATTCCAATTTAAAATATTTAATGATTTAAAATCCATTGCTGCATTTCAATGCCATGACTATATTGTTGGCAAATTT